GAGACAGACAGAGAGAGAGACAGAGAGAGAGAGAGAGAGAGAGAGAGAGAGAGAGAGAGAGACAGAGACAGAGACAGACAGAGAGAGAGACAGAGAGAGACAGAGATAGAGAGAGACAGAGACAGACAGACAGAGAGAGAGACAGAGAGAGAGAGAGAGACAGAGAGACAGAGAGAGACTCAGGGCCACAGAGGCAGAGGCAGAGACAAGGAGGGAAGGAGGAGACCGCCAGAGACAGAGAGCCTGGCGGATTGGTTTATTTTAAGGCACTGACTCACACATCATGGGTGCTGAAAGTGACCACCGCGGACAAAGCCAGCAGCCCAACAGACACACAGCCCGGCAAGAGCGGGTGCTACAGTCTCTCCCAAAGCCTGGAAACTGAGGCAGAGTTTCTGTTTTCCACACCAAAGCCTTGAGGCAGAGTCCCTCGCTTAGGAGCTTCAGCCTTAGCACCTCACACCTTCCCCCAATGTGCTGCAGCTGCCCCCACCCCAGGGCCACACAGGGTGACCTGCCAGCCAGCCAGAGAGGAGGGTGGGGCAAGCTGCAGGCACCAGCCCTTAGCTAAGTGGATGCACAGCAGTGACCCGGGTGAGCTGTCTGAAGCCACCCTACCCCACACGTCCTGAACATCGCAACTATGTGAAGTCAGTTCTATGCTGCCTCTTTAAACATTCATTCATTGTCTGGGGACAAGCACAGGATCCTGAGTTCAATCCCCAGTACTGAAAAAAAAAAAAAAATCATTCATTTATTTACTTGTATTGCTCAGGATTACCTCCAGAGCCTTCACACACTAGGCATGTGCTCTGCCACTGAGCTATATCCCCAGCCCATTTGATTTTGATTTTGAGATAGGATCCTGTTAAGTCTCCCTTGCTGGGTCTGACTTGAACTTGTGATCCTCCTGCTTCGGCCTCCCAGGTAGTGGGAGGCAGCACAGAGCCCAGCTTCTGCACTGTCTTGTGAGTGTCACTTTCTGTTTCTCTTTTAGAATTTCAGGTTAAGATCCTCTCTGCATTGACTATGACCTACAGCTACTGAGGAAGAAAATCACCACCCCAAACCCCCAAAGGCCCCTGCCTGTTAAAGAACAGATAGAATGAATCCCAAATCAAAAAATGAAAAAAGGGAAAGAGCAAGAAAACGAGAATGGGAAGGACACGGGGTGGGGATCTGGCAGGTGGGGGGATACCCCATGACGAATGAAGAGTGAGGTATTTGGGGGCTTCCCTGGACAAGAGGCTGTGGCATTTGGGGCTGCAGAAACGGGGTGGGCTGTGACTTGGTATCTCCTACGTTCCCAGAGTTCGGAGGTGGGGCTTTCCGGGGCCTGGAGGTCTTAGGGGAAGGCTCAGTACCCCCTGACTTTCCGGCAAGGGGGGTGGGGCTTCCCCATGACCTCATCCCCAGCCAGCAGCCTGGGTCCCACCCTAGCACAGATGCCCAGGGACGGAGGTGCCTTTAGAAAATGCACTTTCAAGCCAGGCGTCCTGTCCTGACGTGTGCCTGTCATCCCAGCACTCTAAGAGACTGAGGCAGGGAGACCACAAGCTCCAGGCCAATCTAGGCAAATGAGTGAAACCCTGTCTCAGACAAACTCCTGCCGCACGACCCCTCCCGCGGAGCAGCAGCGGCTCCTGCCCGGCGCTATGGCAGCTCCTCCCACACTAGCTAGCCGGGCGACGGTGCGACCATAGACACCTCTCCCCCACCGCTCTGCTGACTCATCTTCCCCTCCAGCTGCAGGCGGAAACACTGCCCACCACTCACTCCCTGCAGACCCTGGCGCCCCCTACCGGCCGCAGCGAGTCAGCACCTCCCCTTGTGTTCTCCCAAACGAGGCCGGAGAGGGAGCCGCAGCAGGGCGGGTGGAAGGGAAGTGAGGTTGGAAACCCAGTGAAAAGGAGCTGCAGAGGAGGGACACCTGCGACCCAGAGTGGCCCGGAGGGTTCAGCGGAGGAGGCGGAGCAGACTTAGGGTGCTGATGGGGACACACGTAAACACGCAGGTAAGAGGAGTGGGAAAAACTTGACATGGCGCACACCTGTCAACCCAGCACTCTGGGAAGCTGAGGCAGGCGGATGTCAAGTTCCAGTTCAGCTAGTGTAGTTTATCGACCTAGTGAGACTCAGTCTCAAAATAAAAAAATAAAAAGATCTGGGGATACAGCTCAGTATAAAGGCATTGGGTTCAATTTCCACCACCAGGGGAGAAAAAAAGCCCAGGTAAGCTGACAGGTAAAATCTACATAGTAGGCAAGGTGAGGGTCACACCTTGCCTACTATGAAAGTGTAGATAGTGAGAGAAGGTGCAGATTCATTTAAGGCAATTGGTAAGGCACAGGTGAGCCAGCACTGAGAAGCAGGGGAAGGGGCAACGCACTGCTGAGGAGGGGAGGGGGGAGGAGGTGAGGATAGAGGTGGGGCTGGAGATGGGGCTGGAGGAGAGGGTGGAGAAGAGGGTGGAGGTGAGGCTGGAGGTGGGGCTGGAGGAGAGGGTGGAGGTGAGGCTGGAGGTGGGGCTGGAGGAGAGGGTGGAGGAGAAGCTGGAGGTGAGGGTGGAGGTGGGGCTG